AAGAAAGAAAGAAAGAAAGAAAGAAAGAAAGAAAGAAAGAAAGAAAGAAAGAAAGAAAGAAAGAAAGAAAGAAAGAAAGAAAGAAAACCCACCCAGATTCTTAGGCTGAAAAATATGAATTTACGGGAGGTTCTCGACTTATGACCAAAACGGAGAGTCAAATGTATGTTGCTAAGCAAGACGGTAGTTAATTGAACCCTTGGGGGTTGTTTAGTTTGGAACGTGATTTGCTTAATGACCACGTGAATCACTTAATGACCACATGATTCACTTAACAACCCCATGATTAATGTAACAGTTCCATTTGCCAGACAGCTTATGAAAAGCAGTCAATCATTTGCATGATTCACCAAATGACTTGATTCACCAACATTCCCAGCTGGCTTTTGATATGCAAAGTCAATGGAAGCGGTTGGATTCACTTAACGACCACATGACTCACTTAACAACCATGTGATTCACTTAACAACTCCATTTGTAACGTTCCTAGCCGGCCTTCGACATGCAAAGTCAATGGAAGCTGCTGGGTTCACTTAACAAACACATGATTCACTTAACGACCACAGGATTCACCCAGCAAAGCCATTTCCAACATTCCCAGCCGGCTTCTGACACGCGAAGTCAATGGAGACAGTTAGGTTCGCTTAAAGACTGTGTGATTCACTTAACGACTACGTGATCCAATGCCACAATTTGCAATTTTCCCAGCTTCTGACGTGCATAGTCAAAGGCAGCCGGATTCACTTCACTACACTTAAATTACCATGCGATTCACTTAACGACCACCTGACTCCCTTAACGACCGCAGTGATTCTCAGGGAATTGAGCCCTCATTTTTTTTTCCCAACGTCGCTCTCTCTTACCAGCCACGTCCATCGGCTTCATTATGAACGGTGACTCAAAGGCGTGGCTGCTCTCGTCCGCCGGCCACGTGTCGTTGTGATCAAGGAATTCTTTGTATGACATTTGTTCCTCCATGATTTTTCCGGAAGGTTCTAGAAAATGAGAGGGGAAAAAATGGCGGTCCTGTTATTGATACTCAATATGTCCTTCAAAACGTCTTGCGTATAGGCAGTCCTCAACTTACAACCAGAAAGGAGCCCCAAATTCCTTTCGTTCAGTGAGACAATTTCTTAAGGGACCTACATATATATATATATATACACACATGGATGTATATGTGTGTGTATTTAGAGTCACAACCCCTGGTATGCCCAAATATGGGAGGAAGCCTACTGCTTCCTTTCTCTGTTTATCGGCTCGTCACAAGAGACCATCACGACAGAAACCCAATATTTTTACTGTTGCCTTTGTTACATTTGTGTTACATTTGTGCTGATAAATAAATAAAGGGAGGCTAGTGTAGATCTATTTCAAGCTATTTAGCTCTCATCAGCTAGCCATACCCTTACTGGGATTCAAACCTGGGCTGTATTACATATTAGGTAGATGTGTTAACCACTAAGCCACAAGGTTCTCCTCCTATTATCAGAATGAATAAATAAATATAAATATAAATATAAATATAAATATAAATATAAATATAAATATAAATATAAATATAAATATAAATATAAATATAAATATAAAT